TCGGCCACTTGGGGGTTGAGTTCTTTGTGGTGCTGCATTGTAACTTCAGATCTTTAGCCTTTTTGGGCTTATTGGGTTTCTTAACAAGGCAGCTAAACATTTAATTTATAGCTACCCTCCTAAGTGCAGCCAAGAGTTTTTGAGGTGGACACAGCAATAGGCCTAGCGTCTTGAGGTTGATAATGCTGAGGGCTTAGAGTTTAGGGTTGTTCAGGGTGTATCTAAGAAAATTCAACATACCCCTTGGGAACACGCTTAAAATAAGTTAAGAGGTATGGTAATATCCTCTCTTAGACTCCCTTATAATTTCGTTTTATGGGTTAAGGGTTATGGGTTTGGGGTGTGGTGAATCAGTCTTAGAGTTTAGGGCTAAGGTTCAGGGTATTGCTTTGGGATAATTTTGAATTTTCCTTCTTTCCCTTATAAGGGAACCTATTCCTAAATAATTTTCAAAGGGCTTTAAAGCAACACCCAGTTTTAGAGTTTTAGGGGTTAGGGCTTCAAGCTTTAGGGGTTTAGGGTTGCGGGGTGTAGGGCTTAGGTGGGTCCAGCGTTCTTTGGGACTTAACCCTAAACCCTAAACCCTAAACCCTAAACCCTAAACCCTAAACCCTAAACCCTAAACCCTAAACCCTAAACCCTAAACCTTAGGGTTGAGCTGTGGGAGTCGCTGATGGGAGCCCGTGTGTAGGACATGGGCATTGGGTCACCAATGGAGCTGCAGCTGGTGGTGCTGCTTGGCTGGGTTTAGGGTTTAGGGTTTCTAGGGTGTCTAGGGTTTACAGGGTTTAGCGGTTTAGGGTTTCTGGGGTTTTTAGGGTTTTGAGGGTTTTTAGGGTTTTTTAGGGTTTTTAGGGTTCTTGGGGTTTTTAGGGTTTTTAGGGTTTATAGGGTTTATAGGGTTTAGGGTTTAGGGTCCTGAAACTGTTAACACACTAAACCCGAAGTCACGAAAGCTAGCCTCCGAAGGCTAGCTGAGTCCCTGATCAACCGGAAGTTTGCGCGGGGATCGGGGCCAAACCTGGCCTGCTTTTTACAAGCCAGACTGTCGGCTATTTCGGGATTTTGGGGAGCCCTAAACCCTGAACCCTGAACGCTAAACCCTAAACCCTAGAGTGCTTACAAGGTTGAGGCGTTGGGCGCCAGGGTTCGGGGGAGAAACCGGACCCCAATGATGCTCACGATGCTGCCCTTGGCCTGGGCCCAAAAAACCTTCAGGATTCCAATGATCCTCATGCCGGTTTAGGGTTTAGGGTTTAGGGGTTCAGGTTTAGGAGTTGTTTAGGAGTTAGGGTTTAGGAGTTAGGGTTTTGGATTTGGGGTTTAGGGCTACGCGCTCTGGTCTCAGTCCCTCATCCCAAGTCCAGACCTTAAGCCCTGAGCCTTGAACCCTAAGCCCCGAACCCTGAAGCCCTAAACCCGAAACCCCAAACCCTAAACCCTAAACCCGAAACCCCAAACCCTAAACCCTAAACCCGAAATCCTAAACCCTAAGCCCTGAAGCCCGAAACCCACTGAGTCTTCAGCAGAGGCTCAACTTCGCTGGGACCAAGGGCAGGGATGCAGACGAACTGGCACCTCGACGTGGGCGATTGGGGGGTCAGGGATTTAGGGTTTAGGGTTTAAGTTGAAGGTTTCGGGATTTATTGCTTAGGGTTGTTGCTTGGAGGTTCATGGGTGCTTACAAGTGGGGTTATAATTAAGTAGGGTAGCTCTGGTTCGACCCTTGGTTAGGGTACTTGTAAGTACCTTCTGGGGGTCTTCGGGATTAAGAACTCGCTTCTGACTCTTTTTGCTTCGGTCATTTCTTGGTAGGCAGCCTTAATGCATGTCGTTGTTCCGTCATTTGAAGTTTCATGGACAGCACTTGTACGAATGCCCGACATCGCACTTTAGGCTCACCTGCGTACATGTCCATAAAAGAGAAAGATGCAGCAATATTTTCGAGCATTATACAGATACCTTTATAGGATCACCAAAAGGGACTAAACTCTGTCACACCGAACTTTAAAGTTAAGCTGCAGAATGGCTTTGGGTTTCGGCTCTAAACCGGGAGCCGCAAACCCGAAACCCTACACCCCCCAAAAGCCCAAAAGGTTCAGGCGGTGTACCTGGACAAGGTGGCGCGAGTGGAGTCCATCCTTTCTCGTCCACAGGAGTTTTCGCTGGGAGTGTTTAACTCATGGCTTGCGATTTCGATGTTTTTTTTGTTTGGCTTCTTTTGTGGGTTCGGGGTTTAGGGTTTAGTGGGGAGTGAGGGATGTTTACAGGGCTCTTAAGAGAGGGTCCAAGGGGCGTGCGTAACCCGATCTTCCCTACTGTGCTCATCAGAACGGCTTCCCTAAGGTTCCCTAGCAACCTCATCCCCCTCTCGGGTTAGGCCCTTCGGGAGAGTGTTGTTGGTTTTTCCCTTTCCGGGGGGGGGGGGAGTTGGGGAGTGGGGAGTGGGGCACCCTATACCCTGATACCCTAACCCATATCAGAGCATGAGCTTCCCTGCACTGAGTTAGATGTGAGAGGACAGTTCAAGAAAAATAAGGAAAGTATGAGGAATAGAGGGTTTCAGATGGTTCTGGCCTGAGGGTGTAGTTCAAAATAAGAGCAGGTCAACAGATAGCTACAGCAAACGCCTCGTTGTCCTTATGTTCACAAGAAGAAGTATATGCCACAATTCCGCAAGGAAGGAGGCTTCGGCTCGCATTGGCTTTGTCAGTCACTCGGACGGTTTCGAAGCATCCACTTGGAGACTGAACTTCAGAATAAATTTCTACTTGGTAACATTAGCGATTCTGTCTGTGGAAGCGCCTTGACATGGCAAAAGCCTGCAGTGGATTAGGGTACTCGAGCTGACTAATCAGGGGAGCCCTGGGCGCCACATAGCCGGCCTTTAGAAACATTCTATACTGTCGGCCCTTGAGATCCGTATGGATCCTCTGTACAATCTTCGCTGCATGAGGCAACTGCGGCCGGAAAAACACTGCTGGTACTTTACAAGGCACTCCAACGAACTTCAAGGCTGCCATGTTCTGGATATTCTAAAGGCTTTTGCAATGATCAAAAAGAGAGCGCACAACATGCGCAAACGTGACGAGCTGACTCGTCAAAGCTTGGCGATGCAACACTAGCTGCGGGGTATTGAGTTTCGTGGACCCAAAGGGCCTTGACCTTAACACCCCTACACCCACCCGGTCTAACCTCATCAGACCAAGCGGCCAGATTCAGTGGAACCAACCACCCAGTCTGGCCGGTAAAGGCATAATACATCTCCAGCAATGAGAACCCTCCCGGGTCCCAAACCCACTCGACGGAACAAAACCACTCAAACAAGAGCGGCCCGAACGGTGCGCAGAGCAAAAAGCGATGCCAAACAGGCTCGCAGTCGCTGCCAGGGATCCCAGCATCACAAAGCATCATTCCAAGCGCTTGCATTTTGAGTTGTAGCATATCCTCAGGAACGGGGCTTAGGGTTTCGGGTTTAATTAGGGTCTAGGGTTGAGGGTGATTTTGAAAGGGTTCTACCTTGGACCCTGACCGGTCGTACTCAGTATGAAGCCCTTCTAGGGCTCAACCTCAGGGGTACGAATCTGGACCATAAACCTTGGGATTTTAGCCCCCTGATAATAGTACCCCCTACTATAATCCCAATGAAGGAGTCTGTTAGTATAAGGGGGAACATCCCAACATAAATCCCCAGAAACCCTGTGCCCCACGCGCCGCGGAGGATCCAAACAAGCCCTCGCAGGGCCGGACGCCACTCATGGCCGCCGTCAGCACCGGCTCCCTACACGTGGTAGCCGTTCTCCTGGAGGCCGGAGTTGAAAGGTTTCGGGGTCCAGGGTCGAGTTGTTGCGTGAAAAGTTGTAGAGGCTTTTGGGGTTTCAGGTTTAGGGGTTAAAGGTTCAGGGTCAAGGGCTAAGTTTTAGATAGGCTTAAAGTTTAGGGGGACAGGTGTAGGGAGCAGAGTTAGGCTGGTAGGGCTTGAGCCCAGTAGGCCTTCAGCTGAGTCTTGTTGAGGTAAAAGGTCTTCTCCCTAGGGTTTTTTCCAGAGTGGCTTGGGGGATATCTTCTGTATACGTCGACATGATGCCGTGATGTCTCTTGCGGAGTCTCTGCTCGCGTTGCATGTTTCGGGCTCCGTCCTGGGGAGGCCTTTTTGCATTTTCAGGGTAGCGGCAGGTGCTGCTTCTTCTAGAGTTTTTGCGATGGTGCGAGCCTACCTGCCGGAAGATGACTTTAAAGCTATGCCCTATTGGCAGCAATGGGACGAGGTAGTGAAGATGATCTTCGAGGTCGGTGGCTTGCCCGCTTTACCGGCCACCATGATGCACCTCGTGTGGAACTTGCTCCAAATGGGCTTGTGGTACGCCACTGCTCGCGCATTCCCCTCGCCCGACGGGTTCTACTTCGGCTTCCTCCGGAATGCACTCATGGGCCACTTCTTGTTCGAGTTCCTATCTTGGACAGGTACCTACTCAGGGCCGCTCATGGGAAACATCAACCCACCGTTCCCCTGGACCCGGATGCGCTTCATCCGCGGAACCATCAAGGAGCCCTTCTTCCAGTGCCTGGGCTACAAGCGAACCTGGCTGGACGTTTTGGTGTGCTCCGCGGTGGTGCCCATCATGATCTTTCTCCTGGTCACCCCGGACGCCGGAGTTTGGGAGGCGCTCTGGCCCGCCTGCGTTTGGACGCTCTTCATCTTGGACTACTCCTGCTACACAGGCTTTTTCGGTGCCTGGCACGGGCCCGTCTCCTTGATATTTGGATCAAGGGCTTTCTTCGGCCCCCATGGGACGAATGCTGGGCTCCAGCTAGTGCTGCTGATGACCTGGATCGGCAGTGGTGTCGCGAAGCACGGAGACTGGTTCGTGGTGAACTTTGCGGCGGAGTGGGTGCTGCCCTACATCTTCGCAGGAAGCCGCTTCTGGCAGAACCTCATCTACAAGGACATCTCGGGAGGGGACTGCTCCCCGACGCGACTAGCAGCCGTCTTGGGCTATATGGCTGCGATACTGGAGTGGGCGGGTCCCTTATTCCTGCTCGCCGCTCCTCTGTGCGGATCATGCAGATCATATCAGGCCTCCACAGCCTTGATAGGGCTGGGACTGATGGTTCTGATGCACATCTACATCATCGTCCACCTGCCCTTCATCGACGTGTTTGCCATCAACTTGATCCCGATCCTTTGGTCCATCTACTGCTTCTGGATGACCTGCGTGGGTTTTGACTATGTGGACTTGTGGCTAATGCCCTTGCCTTTGAAACTCTGCTTTGTCGGCTTTGCTCTCCAGACCGTCTATGGGCAGATCTACACGGACCGGGTGTGCTACCAGAACTGTTATCGCTTCTGGTCCGGCAACTTCTCCTTCTCCTGGTTCCTGATGACCGACTCCGCCATCGAAAAGATAAAGAGCCGCGTGATCTCCACGGCCGTCTTCCCTCCGTCCGAAGATTTGAAAGCCTCCGGCCTCATGGCAGAGTGGGAGTGCGACTTCTTCGCCTACTTTGCCGTGGGAATGCTTTGGGCCGTCATGCCCTCCCAGCGGCTTCTGCCGCTCATGGTCCACGAGGTCACCAAGGGCAAGGCCCTACATGAGCTTAACTTGATGCCTGCCTGGGCGGTCGTGAACCACTGCATCTAGGATCCAGGGAGTAGGTTTTTTGTTCATTTTGTTTAGGGTTTAGATTCCCTCACAAGCCCCTGTAAAGCAACAAGGGCACAATTTTTATTCCTGGGTTACTCTTGGGTCACCCTAAACCCTAAGCCCTAAACTACCCTAAATCCTAAACCCTAAACCCTAAACCCTAAACCCTTCAATTTTATTCCTATAGGTTACTCTTGGGTCTAGGCATGGGCAGCGCCAGCAACGATGACGGCCGTGTGACCCAGCTCCTTCCGCGACTCCAAGAGGTCGTCAACTTTGAGTGTCTTGGTAAGCCCAGCGGTTTCGGGTCTAGGGTTTAGGGTTTAGGGTTTAGGGTTTAGGGTTTAGGGTTTAGCAATTCAGGGCTGAGGGTTTAGGGTTTAGGGTTTAGGGTCCATGGTTAGGGTTCAGGGTTTAGGGTCTAGGGTTTAGGGTCTAGGGTTTTTTGGTGTAGCTAACCCAAAAAAGGGGGTGCCCTTATTGCAATGTGGTTCCTGGGCTACCAAGGAGTGGCGAGTGTGTTTGCCTGCGGTGTAAGTCCTGCTCCGGCTTCGGTGGCAAGATGGCCTACGAAGCGGTTGACCTCTCTGACGGCCAGCTCTTCTCAGGAGTTTGGGAGGTCGCGGATGCCGTGAAGCTCCGCAAGCCTTCCGACACGCAGGAGTTGCTCAGCAAGATCCCTCTGCGCGCCACCGCCTTCTGATTTCGAAGGGATGAGCTCGCAGATTGAGGGTGGCCGACTCCGAACTCGTGAACCCTACCACCTTTGGCCTCGAAGCCCCCAAGCGCAGAATCCTCAGCCCCGAAAGTAGATCCTACACCCTAAACCCCAAACCACACTCAAGCATGCCTTGAGTTTTTTTCAGATATTGGCAGAGTGAGTCGTGGGCCTGCACCTGAGATTTCAATAGATTCAGGTCAGGAACACCCCCTTCGAGCTCAGTTCTCATGAGTTCCCCTATCACCCCGCTCTAAAATACCTTCCCCCCCCTCCCCCGAGGTTCCCCCCAGAATTAAGGCTGGGGAACCTAGGGGTGGGGCGTAGTAGGGGAACCCATGAAGTTACCAACAAGGGCGGCCATGGTTGGCCATCGTTCTGGGCCCGAAAGAAAAAAGTTGAGATTCCGGGGTACAAGGAGGGACCCCTCGAAGTGACCCGCAATCTTATTCCCCTATATAACCCCTATACATGCAGTAAAGTCCCTTATATGCCTACGTAGCCCCTAAGTAACCCCGAAATAACCCCTAAGGGGTCCTTTATGCGGGTCCCTCTTTAGTCGCTTGATGAGTGCTTTCTTGAGGATTTACAGAAACCCTGCACTAAACCCTGAACCCTAAACCCGAATCCCCCCTTGTATTTTGGGTTTGCCTTTTTGAAGTTCCTCTAAAGGAAAATAAAGGAGGGCCATATTAGAAGCAAATTAAGGGAACCTCTATTAGGGGCACATCGGGCCCTAGACCCTAAACCCTCATCCCTGCACATTTTGGGGGTTCGAGTAGGACTCCCTTGAAGAACCCGGGGGGCTCCCTCAGTCTCCCCCCCCACACCCCCCTAATCAAGCCCTCAGTGTGCCCCACAGAGACCCTAAACCCTGAAACCTGAATTTATGGACCCTAAACCCTGAACCCTAAGCCCTGAAGCCGTGAGTTATGCAGAGATGCCTCCGGCTGGTTCCAGAGGCCCCAACACCTCAACCCTCGGATTTCAACTTGTCTGGATACCCAAGAGATGCCGTTTGAGTACTCTTAAGAGGGATTAGGCTTAGGGTTTAGGGTTTATAGCTTTTAGGGTTTAGGGTTTAATTAGGGTTAAGGGTTTAGGGTGTAGGATTGCGCCCCTCTCTCACTAAAATCCCTGGACTCTGTAGACTTCCCGCCTGGTTAGAAAAAGTCTTGCCAGGCCAACGCCGATCCGGACGCAACGAGCTCGGCGGGCCATTCGGCGCTCCAGATTGCGCAGCCCTTCCTGACCAGCGTTGTTCAGGGTGGAAGTTGGGGGGTTTAGGGTGTAGGGTTGAGGGTTTGACGGGGTTTGGGTAGGTTTTCATGTAGGGGTTGTAGTGTTCTTTGGTTGCTTTAAGGTGCTTGGCCGACAAGGAGATATGACTTAACTGGCTTGCGGGAAAACTTAGGCTCTGCCCTAATGCCCTAACCCCTAAACCCTAAACCCTCACATGGATCTAAAGCAAATATCAGGGTTTCTGTGTCGTGGTGCCCTGTCAATGCCAGAGACCCCAAAACCTTACTATTGGAAGCACCATCATATAATCAGTATCTTGTATGTATGTAAAGCTGCTACGAATATTACGAATATATGTTTCTAGTTAGAAGTTAGAAAAATAGCCATCAGATCAATACTGCAAGGAACAGCTTTTCGGGTTTAGGGCAGCTCATTGTTTAGGGTTTGAGAACAAAAGGTGCGCAGAGGGCCACTTGGAGATTGTGCGCCTGATGCTCCAGGCCACTGCGCGTAGGATTGAGTTTTAGGGTTTAGGGTTTAGGGTTTAGGGTTTAGGGTTTAGGGTTTAGGGTTTAGGAACCGCGAACCCTAGGCCCTTGCAAGCCTCTGTAAACCCCCGAAGCCCCAGAACACGAAACCCTGAAACCCTAAACCCAAACTTAAACCGCCCTAAAACCCTAAACCCCAAACCCCGTCAGGATTCTAGGCCCTATATAGACTCTACACTCTTAACCCCAAGCTCTATAGTGCTAAACACCTACAGGCCCTTGTAAGTAGGGATGTATGTAGGGTAACCATGGCCATTCCCTTTATTAGGGTCAGTATAGCCCTACTTATAGGTAGCCGCGAACCTTCAGGTTGATGGCTTGAATGGGCAGATTCTGCGCACACCCTAATACCCTTAGTAGCCAAGTACCCGAACCCCCAACCCCTAAACCCCAAACCCTAAACCCCCAACCCCTAAACCCCAAACCCTAAACCCTAAACCCTAAACCCCAAACCCTAAACCCCAAACCCTAAACCCTAAACCCTAAACCCAGAGGCCGGCGCCCAGGAGCACAAAAGCAGCCGGTCCAAGGTTCTCCCCGAAGCGGCAGTGCACTTTGAACTCACGCCTTTAGGGTCCTGGGGTCGCAGGGTTTAGGGTTTAGGGTGGGTCGTAGGGTTTATAGGGTTTAGGGTCTTAGCGTCTCAGGGGTCGTAGGGTCGTAGGTTTTAAGGTGTTAGGGTGTTAGGGTCGTAGGGTCATAGGAGTTAGAGTCGTGGGGCTTCGGGTTTTTGGGATTTGTCACTTTGGGGTCCTTTGCGCTTTGGGCGTCTCTGTTCTGAGGGTTCAGCGTTTCTTGAGGGCTGGCCTTTCTACATAAGGTCCCTTGGCAGGTGGGTGTATAAGGCCGAGGGTGTATAGGACTTAGGTTACAAAACGCCTAAGAACTCCCCATAGTTTGCCCTTGTTTTTAGCAGCCCACAGGTCTGTTCGGGTTGTACGCCAGGATTTCTTGGGTTTAGGGTTTGGGGTTTCGCGTTTCGGGTTTAGAGGTCTCAAGTATCCAAGAGGGTCCACTTACCCCAACACCACTAACATGCCTTCGGGTGCCCAAACCCAACACAGCGCCCGAAGTCGACCCTCCAGTCGTTTGAGAGCCTGTGATTTTGGGAGAAGTGTGTGAACCCTAGCCCCCCGAAACCTAACCAGAAGTTGCTACTCCCCAGGCCCCGCTGGCCCCAAGAAAAGGAACGCTGATAGGGTCTGGGATGGCCCTAAGGCCTAAACCCTGGTAGGGTGTGCCCTGGATGATGGAAGCTACCCTGATTTCAAGATAGGAAGTCAGATTCAGGTACACTCCTTTTGTTGTGAAAAGGTACTCCAAACCAAAACCAAGGCGTGGAGACGTGGAAATGGTGCGTATGCTGCTGGAGGCCGATGCCCACGTACGATCGGGAAACTCGGACGCCTTCAATGCCCTGAAATTGGCCACTGAGCAAGGCTTCACGGACGTGGTGCAGCTGCTGCTGGAGTTCCGTGCAAACGTAGATTCCACTGATGATCGGTGCAACCACTTCCGGACCTGCTTGCACAAGGCTGCATCCAGAGGCTTCGTAGATGTGGCAAAGCTCCTCCTGAAGGCCAAGGCTGACAAAGACCGGGTTGACAAGGAAGGCAACACGGCTTTGTCTCTGGCCGCTGCTGAAGGCAAATCCGAGGCCGCTGCTGTATTGCTCAACGCAGCTGCTGCCATTGACAAAGAGAACCACGAAGGTCAAACTCCGCTGTTCCGAGCCTCCTTGCAGTCCCAAGAGGACATGACTGGGCTTTTGCTCCGCGCAGGCGCTGACAGCAACCGAGGTGATGCTGTGGGAGACACGCCCCTCATCATTGCCGCCAAGTGGGGAAGCACAGATATCGTCCGTCTGCTCCTGGCTGCCCGGGCCAACGCCGACGGCCCCAACAAGGCACGCCAGACGCCTCTGCTTGTGGCGTCCATGCGCGATTGCAGGAGCATCACCCACCTCCTTTTGCTGGCCAACGCAGATACCGAGAAGGGCGATGACGACGGCCATACTCCCTTGATCTTGGCAGCCGAAGCTGGGCATGTGCAGATCGCACATCTTTTGCTGCAGTTTGGGGCCGATATCAATAAAACCAACCACGCCAAGCAGACTCCCTTGCGCCTAGGCTTCTCTTCGATTCTTGTGTGTGTGTGTGTGTGACCAAACTCCCTCTGCTGTGCGCAGAAGGCTATGTAGGATATTTTCAGAGGCTCCTCAACATCTTCTCGGTGGGTGTACATATTTGGTGTTCTTTCGGGGACACGATTTCTACAGATCCCATTTCATCCTCGTCGGGCTTAAGCTGCGAAGCCAAACAGACCTTAGCCTGAACCTTGACACTTTGAAAGAACAACCCGGAACCACCGGAACCCCAAACCCTGCTTTCTAAGATAAAGGCGCTGCCTGGGCCGTAAGCCCTAAACCCCTAAACAAACCCCTCAACTCCAAACCCTACTTGGTAGAAAGAAGGGTTGCCAGGTTTTCGGAGCTTGCATACCTTCAGAAGGGTCCATCCTCAACTATCTCTCAGGCCGTGGGTCTTCCATGGGTTTTGAGTTTTTCGGGTTTCGGGTTTATAAGGGCTGAAATGGAGCTGCCAAGGTTCGTGGCTTCAGAGAATGCCTGGTTGAACATGTGCCGCCTGCTGCTGGACTCCGGCGCAGACCAAGACAAGACGGATCACAGGGGCAGAACGCCCTTCGCCATGGCGTCCGACACTTGCAGTTTGTTCAACACCTTGAACCCGATAAAGCCCCATATCCTACACCCTGCAAACGCAGACAGGCCTAAACATACCAGGACCTGCAATGAGGCTAGTGCCCCGAAGGAGCCAATGATGAGGGAATATTCTAGAGATACCGGGGCAGTTAAGCGATGATGGTTTAGGGGATTTGGGGGCTGGGCTTCTTCCCTCGACCTCGACACTTACTTCGAACCCCCCTCGCCCCAAAACTCTTGGGCACCTGGGATACCGGTTTAGGGTTTAGGGCCTAGGATGATGTACCCTCGGGGCCTGGTACAGGGTGTTGTGTGTAGGAGAGTTCGGATAGGGACAATGATTAGTTGGGTCAGTCTCCGGTTTAGGGTTTAGGGTTCAGGATCTAGGGTTTAGAGTTTGGGGTTTAGGGTTTAGGGTCAGACTTCCAGATGCCGCAGCTAAGGAAGAGGAGAATCAGGGCGTGGCCCGGATGTTGCAGGAGGATGCGTGGCGCAAGGCTCGACGTACAGGGTATACATAAGGGGTACAGAAGGGCTCCCCCTTTTAAGGGCCAATAGGGTTCTGGTTTTAGGGTCCAGGGCAAAGGGACCATGCAACTAACTACCGGACGAAGAGAAGAAAGGAGTACGGCCTTGAGAGCAGTGGTTCCCTTCTATTCGCCGATAAACCGAACCGCTCAACCCTACAAACCCGGTTCAGGGTTCAGGATTTTGGGGTCCCTTAGTATGGTCCCTTATCTCTGAAGCACTATGGGTTCACTCCCTAAACCCGAAACCCGAAACCTGAAACCCGAAACCCGAAACCCTAAACCCTAAACCCTAAACCCTCCATCTCGCAGGGCTCCGCCAACCCGTCGGAGGACAAGAAGAGGCGCCGGCACTCGCCACCACCACGCTGGCCCGGTGTGCGCCGTGAGGATCACTGGGCTCCCCTTGTATAGACCACAGGGTTGAGGGTTAGGGTTTCGGGTTTAGGATTTAGGGTTGAGGGTTTAGGGTTTAGGGTTTAGGGTTGAAGGTTGAGGGTGACTACACTTTGGGATTCTTGGGAATATGTTTTTTTTTCAATTTTTGGGTACTGTAATTCCTAAGCAACAGCTAAAATCGTATTTTTGCTAGGGTTCCCAGTTCAGTGTAGTACAGGGCCGAGGGCAATTTAGGAGGTTTGGGGTTAGGAGGCTTAGAGTTTAGGGCTTTTGGCGGGTTATGGGTTTAGGGTTTTGAGCTTGCACGGTCCGGACCATTTAAGGTAACAATACAAGCATACCACGTCTGCCGGGAACTGTCAAGGGCAGATCCCGACTGAGACCAGCCCAGCTTCATGAAACCCTAAACCCTAGACCCTTCAAACCCTTCGCCCTCCTCCCTAATACCCCATGCCCAGGGTCACGCAACCTTGGAGTTAAGATTTTTGGGTCTCCGGTGCGAGCATGGGATGCTGGCTGAGGCCAAGCCTAAGAGTTAAGATGTTGCTGGCTGTGCTCCTAAAACCCGAAATCCCTGAAACCCCTACAACCCCAAATCCTTAAAACCCCTGAAGCCGCAAAACCCTTTTCAGCCCCCAAATCCCAAGTCCTCTTCTGATGTTTTTGCGCCCCTGATAATAATATTAGACATAATGGTAATACTCATGATCATAAAATAATCATAATCATCGTCATAAGCAAAATAATAATGCTACTAATAACAATACTAGTAATAATAACCATAATCATAACAATCAGAATAGTCAACATGATCATAATCATAATAATATTAGTAGAACTAATTTTAATTAACATAATCATAACAATCAGAATAATCATATTAGTAAATGGCTTGGAGTCGGGTCTGTAGCTGCACGGAGCTTCCGGCGACCCACTGCGCCGAGTTTGGTTCAAAAGGCTGCGTTCGGCCCTCGACTTCTAAACCCTAAACCCTAAACCCTGAACCCTGAACCCTGAACCCTAACCCTAAACCCTAAACCCTGAACCCTGAACCCTGAACCCTGAACCCTGACTGAACACTGAACCCTGCCATGGGTGCAGAGGGTTATATAGGGGATTGTAGACTGCGAGACACATGTGGGTCTAGTGAGTTCAGGGTTGTATCATGCCAACTTCCAGCCTCCTTCGCAAACCGAATTGTTCCAATTTAGGGTTTAAGGGTTATAGGTTTCTGTATGACCTGGGTCAAAAAATCCGCCTAAGGCTTACCCAGTTTTCACACGCAGCTACTGCGTGGACTTAAGATGGCCTCGTTTGGACTGAAGTTGGTCTCGTTTAGGGTCTTGGGTTTAGGGTTTAGGTTTTATAGGGTTGAGGTTTAGGGTTCAGGGTTTAGGTTTTAGGGTTTAGGGTTTAGGGTTCAGCATTAGCCCGGCTTGCGTCAAAGCCGTGCGACCCTAAATCCTAAATGCTAAGCCCCCAAACCCTAAATCCCCAAACCCACAAGCCCTAAACCCCATAACGCCCAACCCTGAATCCCCAAACCCACAAGCCCTAAACCCTATAACACCCAAACCCTAAACCCTAGAGGTTTCGCTGCGGCAGCTCTCCCCATCTGGCGAATCTCGAACCAACACCCCAAACCCCAAACCCGAAACCAATCAGAAGGCATCATAAACACCCTGAAGCCCCAGAGCCCCTAAAGCCCTGAAGCCGGGAGTCCCTACATAGTCCAAAAGTTTGAAAAGTTTTGGGTTTAGGATCTTAGGGTCTTAGGTTTCGGGTTTAGGGTTTAGGGTTTAGGGTGACGCTCATGAAATGCCAGTCTCTTCTGGCGCCCGGCGATTTGCGTCGCCTGGGCTCGAGCCCGGCGCTGTTGACTCGGCCCTCGGAGGTTCAGCGACGTCCCTGCAAAAGGGGTTTAGGGTTTAGGGTTTAGGGTTTAGGGTTTAGGGTTTAGGGTTTCGGAGGTTCATTTGGGGGTTGCCGAAAGTAGGGGTCTCTTTTTGGGATCCTTGTAGCAGGGAATTGTACTAGTTGGGGATCTGTATTGTTGTCCCCTATTTTCGTAACCCTCCACTAGCAGGCTGCTTAAGGGACGGGGGCTATAACTGGTTCCATTGTCTTTCTTATCTTTTTCTTCTCCTTGGTTATAGGGTTCCTTACTTGAGAGGAGGTTTAAGGGCAGTCTGTAACCCAAGGTTCCCTATTGCTCCCCACTAGTTTCGAAGGCTCCCGGAGCTTCCCTAAGGTTCCCGAGGTACCTTCCCCCCCATTGTACCACCCTCCCTTAAGGACCCCATTAAATAATCCTAAACCCTAAACCCTATAGTTCATGGAGCAGCGTAACATTCTGTCCTCGTTTCGGGTACTGACACCTTGTACCCATGAACCTGCGCTCCCAAAGCTCTTCAAAACCCCTAAGACCCTTAGGGTTTAGGGTTTAGGGTTTAGGGTTTAGGCTTCGGGTGTTGGGTCCATTTTGGGTTTCGGGTTTGGGGGTGCACAGCGGAGCAGGTGTCCGGGAGTTTGACCGAGCACTCGTCGGCGGAGGTAGAGAGTCTGGACCTCAACATCGACGACTCTTGATTGAGGGTTTTGGGGGTGCGTGGTACTTTGGGGGGGGGGGGGGGGGGGGCTTTGGGGGTGGTGGGTGTGCTTGGGAACCACTACACTGCACCCCAAAAGGTTGTATGTCAGGGCATAACGATCACTAAACCCTACACTCTAAACCCCAAACCCTAAATCTTAAATCCTAAACCCTCAACCCCAACCGAATTGCTTTGGCCCAGGTAGCGACCCGACCTCTGTGGCCGAGCCGGTTCCAGGCGAAGCTTGGTGGTGGGGGTTGAGGGTTTTTAGGGTTGAGGGTCTAGGGTTTAGGGTTTACTGTAGGGTTTAGGGGAGAGGACCCCAATATTGAACTACTAAACCCTAAACTGCTACACTAATCTCCCCAAGGCCGGCGGATGCAAGCAAAGCTGGGTTGAATGGGCAAGGTAGAGATCTTCCCTCAGCCCCGAAACTCGCAAAAGTGCAAAGAACAATTATTAGAACTCTATATGAAACGGTAAGTTTAGGGTTTAGGCTTTAGGGTTTAATGTTGAACCTGCTTTTGGAGGGGGCCCCCTGAGTAAAGTCAGATTGGCTGGGCTATTCCGGACGCACCGCTTGTTTGGGGGTCCCCATTTAAGGTCAAACCGTCCGGGTGTCGTAGAAAACTCTGCGCTGCTCGCCTTCAAAATCAATTGCCGGGCATCGCTGTCCTTTGAAGCTTATATAAACTCCTCCCTGTTAAAGTCACATAACACCCGCAGACCGTGTCAACAGGACGAAAACCAGCTTCGACCGTTCTGGGGTGGAGGGGGGGGGGGAGGCCAAAGATTAAAGAGGGTACCCAAAGAGCCCAAGACCCCTTAAATAAGGAAAATCGACCTTAAGTCATATTCTTTCATGATCCCTATCTACTATAAGGAATGATATTCCTTATGTCATATTTTCATGATCCCTATCTACTTTATAAGGTGACCTCCTTAGGGGGCAGTGCGGGCTGGGTACAAGATGAGGGCTTTTGAGGGCTTCCGAATCGCCAACCTGGCCGGCAGGTTCCCATGCGGCCGCAGAGGCTCCCCGAGTCGAAGGCCCCCCGGGCTTATATATATATATATATAATTATTTTTATTTATTTATTTATTTACATTTATTTGTTTATTTATTTAACTATATATATACATACATATGCATACATTACTGTTATTGTTATTATTATTATTATTACTATATGTCTCCTTTTTCGGATTTTATAGGATTCTTGAAGAAAGCTGGGGGGGGCATTCAAGTCAGAGAAGAAGCAATAGTAACTACGCAAAGTACCCATTCTTCTTCAGCGCACTACGAGCAACTATACAGAAATTTCCTAAGCGAGCAAATCGCCCTGGTGTCACCATCGATGCATCAGATTTCGGTCCACTTTACCCAAAGTCCATTCTAACTAATTAAAGAAGGGTGTCGTGCGCCAGAAGCCCTAAACCCGCAATCCTAGATTGAAGAATCTGAAATCCAACTGGCAGGAGAACCGACAAGTCCGGCCACTGAGAACTTTGCCAGCCCAGGCGCGCAGATTGATGTGGACAGGTTTCAATCGGAGTCCTTCAGGGGCTTGTTGCTTATGTTTTTGTTTTTTTAAGTGGGAACCCGGAACTTGGCTTCTTGTCGCTTACGTGTCCCGCCTCCTTGCCCCCAAAATTCAACCCTGAACCCGAAACCACGGAATTTTCCCGAACTCCCTATGAAAGAAGAAGTCACGGGCAAGATGCGGCATTGTCGGGTGACACCAACTCCACCTAAACCTGCCGCCTGGTTTCAAGCCTCGTGTCGGGCTTTTTAGGGTCTATTTAAGGCTGGGTCGAGAGGAAATCATGCTTGAAAGTGGGCGAGGAGGAGGCCTTTGGGGCGTATACTTGATTTAGTCTGGCGTTAGATGTTGAGGTGGGGTTGTTGTTTTTGGTGGGTGTACGATTCCTGTAAATCTTGGTGAGTGCATCTTCTGGGGGGAGGAAGAGAAACCCGGTCATATTTGGCCGAGACCTCCAGTCCGGCTGTTCCCTCGGGGAGGATGGATGTTTTCAGATGCAGAACCCTATACCCTAAACCCTAAACCCTAAACCCTAAACCCTAAACCCTCAACCCAAGAACAAGGGAATCGGGCAAAGTGAGGTTCCTTCGTTCCCTGTACAAGCACTGCATCAGGGTATGAATATGACGACAACCTAACCTAACAACTCTCCACCAAGAACTGGTAGAAGTAACCCCAAACCCTAAACCCAAAACCTGAACCCCAAACCCTCCCAAACCCTCCCAAACCCTCCCAAACCCTCCCCAACCCTCCCAAACCCTCCCAAACCCTGAACCCCAACTTATAGACCCTACACCCTCACCCTAAACCCCAAACGTTAAGCCCTAAACCCCAAACCCTAAACCCTAAACCCTAAACCCCAAAACCGAAACAGACTCAC